TACATGTAGCTGTTCAAACCTCCGAGGCCTCCCCTAGTCAAACTGAGCCAGAAACGGGCCGGAGCCAGAGTTAGAACGATTTGATTAGTTGAAGACAAAAGTTTTTGTAACTTTCTATCCAGTAAAAGGGTCGGTTGGAAAGCTGGGATTGAGCCAGAACAATTGTACAACTTTTATTGGTCAAAAGTCTCTGGCTCTGGCTCTGGCTCTGGCCCAGCCTGACTACCGGTACCGTTAATGTCTCTAAGCTGTTTGGCTGGCAATTGGTGATAGGGTATTTTACTAGCAGCTGGCGCAACCTAAGAATACATTATTGAGATAAACCCCGCTCCTAAAAAACCGGGGCAGATTGGAAATTCAATAGAGTGATCATGAATCGCGGCCGCGAGCTGGCCAATTAGTTGAGTAGGTACTCTAGAGTACCGGCTGTGAACCCAGAGGTGCTCAGCCAAAAACAGCGCAACGAACCCAGTCTATCATAAACAGATGAACTCACCGTGAGATCTAAATCAACCCCAGATTCACTTTGGTAACGGCGTCTTGGCATCATCGTCGGATAGTGTGTTTTGACCGTTGCATAAATAACTCTAACCTCTGGTGTATACCAAAGATACTTCTGAATCTAAATATTTAGTTCTTAGCAACAGATTTTGTTTGATTTTATCAACGACCGAAGATACAATGTGCACGGGACCAGAATATAGATGCACGATATGATGCACGGATGCACGACGGCGCAGCCATGGACACTGTGCTTTTACGACCTGAATGTATAGTAACTGTGGCTATTGCGCTGCGCGGCCATCACTGTGCTTTTGCGCTTTTGCGGTCATGAGTTTTTTGTTTTTCTTCTTTTTTAAACAAAGTGTATTGATTCTAGGTACAAACGTGGCATAAAGTTTGTACTACATGTATGGCCTACATAAGTCTGCTTTCACGACCTGAATGTATCGCCTGGTCGGCCGAGACCTGCTCAGAATCTGGTTCTCTGCATATTATACAAACCTGGCGCTTAACTTTCTATATAGGTAATGATCGAATTGAGATTACAAGAAGAAATAACCACAAACAGTATTTCTTGCTTGCCAAGACTGCGCAGAGCACCAGATTCTGAGCAGGTCTCGGCCGACCAGGCGCTACAGGCCGTGAGGCCAAGTCTTTTGGGAAATGGCTGCCGGAAAGCTCATCTCTGCGTTTTTCGGGCTGATCCAAGTGTCTGTAGAGTACTGTCATTCACGGGGGTATTGGCGGGTACTGGGTGTTGGCGGAAAAGCATAAAAAGAGACAGCCAAGCCAATTTTTGGCTTCAATCCGCCAATACCCAGTATCCGCCAACACCCCGTGAATGACAGTACCTACAACGGGAATATGGTGTCCCATGTGTGCGCTCACATCATAAAGAGGTTTTCCCCACCATGAGGGCACCTATATGAGAATTCCGAGAAATCCACCAAAAGGACTGTAGCGACAGCGTACATAGTTGACTAAGCACGACCCATCATGAGCAGCGGCAGGCGCAACCAAAGGGTACATTATCAATGAGTATATCAACTGACTGGGAGGAGGTGAACCTCCCGGGAACTATCGAAAACAGAATATCAGGACAAAGAGTGAACTGACTGGGATGAGATAAATCCCAAAACTGAGACCTCTCCACGCAAAGGAAGCTACAACTCGTGCCACTGCTAGTAGGTTAGTACGGTGACAGAAACATGGATAAAAAATGACTACCGCAGTCTTCTACCATGCCGTACCAGGGCCACTGCTATCTGCGCATAGGGATTATCTCTAAAACGATTGGCTGAAAGGTACCGATTAGATATTCTGTCAGATCCGAATGCGATGTTGGGGGGCCAATGGCTTTCGATCATACATGTAACCACCGTTATTCGCGACAAAAAGAAAGATCGCTGTGCAGGCTGTTTTTTTTTTTTTGCAATTTTGAGAACCTACAGGAAGGTGCAATTATACAAATACCTTTATAATTGTGAGGCAGTGTATTCAATCAGTCTTCGAATCGTTTAGAAAGGAAAGGTTCCCCAAAATTCCATCTGAAAAAAACTCGCTTCGTTCATCTCTAGATCCAATTCTCTTAACGTTGACCATCATGCATTCCACAGAGAGCGAAATCACCAAGTCCCGAGGAAAGCACATATCCACAAGTGACTTGATCACACTGACTGTCGGTTGTATCACTATTTTGATTACCATTCTTGCCGTCACTGTTCAGATTAGCGAATGCCTTAGGAAGCGAAAGAAGGTATGTCCCAAAGCTGTTGACATATATATGCGGGGGAGGTGGGCCGATCGAGTTGAGGATACCCCCGAGGATAGATCTAAAATTTCTCCGCTTGAAACAGTCATTCAAATCGACAGAGCCTAATACATTACCGAAATAGGAGCACAGGAATCTTAGAGACGGAGAGTTACGAATCATCACCCGTCCTCAGTCATCACTCTCTACGTCTTCAAAGGCAGCCGTCCATGTTCATCCCGCAGCTACTACCCCCCAGAGCTCGCAGCGGGCCTCTAGGGCAGTCGTCTACGCTCATTCAAGACCGTCCTCCTCCCATTCCTCCCAGAGATCCTCAGGGGTAGCTGGTCGCGTCCATTCCAGGCCTGTCTCCTCACACTCATTCCAGAGAGCCAGCGCCGCCGAACACCAAACGGAACCTGCAAGCCCGTGATGAAACTACATTTCTTAATGGTAGTTTGTTCTGGTCCCGAGAATGATCTTAGTCGCTAGATAGTCAGACCTATAGAGCGAGTAGAGCTAATACCTCCAGAACTCCAATTTTCTTGGAAAGCAAGACTTTAAAATGTAAAATTTCGCTGGTTATCACTTTCCTTGGCATAGTTTATTTATTCCACACGCAACTAATGAGTTAAACAAAAAAAAAACTTTTATGTTCTTTGGATTTGTTGCGCTATTGGGTGGTTTTATATATTTCAGTCATTCACATAAATGATATATTCTTCCTAGCGTAATAATATAGCGGAGAAGGATAGGCATACCTAGGAGTGTGTAACTAGGCTCGCTGATGGGGGTATGCCAAAGTTGGGGTGTGCCAAAGTTGGGGTATGCCAAAGTTAGGACATTGCCCTAGCCCATCCTCGAGTCTAGCTCTAGATGCTGACGAACTAAAGCCACAGCAACAGCACAATTGGGTAAAAGATCAACAAAACCCCACCATACATTCATTGGCACTGGTCACCTCTTGCATTTTCGGAGGGTGCCGATGGCGTATGGATACCGCATAATAACGAACGGGGCCGGATTGAGACTAGACCGCATTGTTCTAATTTGTCGAATAGGTTTTGAGCCTCCCTCGATCACAACCGCGAAAAGAATAAATTTTTCATGCGTGCTTGTAATGAGTGAGATTACAGTATTCCAGACCAGCCCCGTCTGATCGTGGTCAGGGATTAGGCCAATGACAGAGCTAGAGTTAAGTTTAAGACTCCAAGGGTAAGTTACTGCAAACACAGCCATTAGACATAATCAGTGAATGACTGTAGTGCGCGTTATTATGTCAATCACCAACTGTAGGTACACAGGTATACGTAGAGGGCGGTACGACGTCGGCGGCCATAAGTAATATGATATAGGTGATAAGACCCTGCCAAGCCCAGCACCTCATACATATATTAATACTTGCGGTAAGCAAGCCGACCGCGGTTTCCTTAGTCATCAACCTTGTAAGAGGAGTGCGGTTGGTAGCGAACCATAGTTACTATAACTAGGGGAACTGGCTTTTTTGGGGATAGGTCTTTACGCCATAGGTTTTACCTGCATGCGATACATTGTACCTAGAAACAAATGGAGTATGATTTCAAAAAAAAAAAAAAAAGCAAGCCGACCGCACCCTAAGTCGCGTGGGCATCAAGCCGTCGGAAACACGACGGATACATATATACATTGTACTCGTATCGTCTTTAGGACCTCTTGCCCGGGAACGTCAAGTTAAATGATTACCTGTTAAGATAATTCTTGCTTTAGTGAACCTAACCCTGACTCCGTGGAGCATTTTTGCTACAAATGTCACCTATCTGTGATGAAATTTCCCTTTTCTGGCAGTGTTACTTACCTATCATGGTTAATTCAACGATTAGTACGACGCTATTTCTCGCGCAACTCGGGCACGAACGAATAGATAGGGCCATGGTACTTGTTACTAGGGGGACCCACCTCGCGACCGCGAGTTGCAATTTGGATTATGGGTATCAAGTAATTGAGGAAGGCCTTCAATAGAGGGGGGGCCTTCGGCCCCATTCCACCTCCTCATTAATTCCCCCTCTAGAATTATGAGGGGCCTCGTGAGTCCCTGTCGCCGTCGACCAATCAGACTGCAAGAAAATCGGAAAAACAACAGAGTATGTAGGTACATACATAGTAGACCGCGAGTTGTAGGTTCCTTTGGAGAGGCCAATCACTTCGGTCTATCCCATCTTTGGGGTTCACCTCCACCCAGCCAGTTCACTCTTTCTTGATATTTGATTATCTAAATATGTATACTCTTTCTTGGTATTCAACCCCCCAACGTGTATGAGCTGTTGAAGGTACTTTTGATCTTGATGCGGCATGCTTAGTAATGTACCCTGCCCAATCCCTGTCAACTTATGCAACCGACCAACCAAACAGCTTCGAAGTGTCTCATTTTCGAACATATGAGACTAGGGTATTGCAGTACATATTAGAAGACATAGTAGAAGTGCCACATTAGAGCGTTTTGGCAACAAACTTCTGTCTAAATATTTAGTTCTTGGCGACCAGTTTTTGGTTTGGATAGCCCGGCAAGACCTCAAGATTGAGCTCAAAATTCGTGTTGCCAAAACGCTCTATCACATCATCCCACGCTGCGCTCAAATCTATTCAGACGAAGACTTGTGCACTCTGATCTAGCACTAGGCAACATCATCAAAATGCTGAGAGTGTGCCGGCACTTCTAGCGCTATGCCCACGACCGAGTGATTTTGGGTGAGGCGCGGCAATACAGCACGGTTCCATGGCTCAGTTGGTTAGCGCGTGGTGCTAATATCATTCCTTGCAGGGTTCTTCCCTCAGGGAGGAGTGTTAACGCCAAGGTCGAGGGTTCGACCCCCTCTGGAACCATATATATAATATTTCGGTGGTCCCCACTAAATTTCGTTTTTGCTCTTGTACAGCGGTGGGTAATAAGTCATCGGACGAGCTAGCTACAATTTTGCCTGCAAACGCGTATTTTTGTGGCGTTTCATCCGATGACTTATTACCCACCGCTGTACTATCCGGACCGTGAATGGTAGTTCGCGTTAAGGTTGCCAGAAACACTGTATTTTCTTTTCCTCCTCAGCCTAGATCTATGGATGTACCTCGAAAGATTGCTAGAACGGTACCTTTTATAAGGGTAATCTCTCTATAAGGGTAACACCTCTCAGCCCTTTTGCCCGACTTTCAGCTAACACCTGTGACATTTATACAAACTAATCTCTCTATAACGGTACCAAATTCCCGTCCCGAGCGTACCCTTATAGAAAGCTTTCGCTGTATACATTTAGCCTAGTAGTCCACTGTGGGAGGTAAAGTTCGGAAATACCGACGATGCATACCGAGGATTCTGTATTAGAATCTGACTAGCTTTCTATATCGAAATCTACAGAGAACCTCCGATGAACCTCCTCCTACCGATGACGAACCTCTAAACTAGAACGCTTGGGTTACACTGTGAAATGCCGCTCTTTGTAATGCAACCTAAATTGGCAAAATAGAAGCACTGGGGATTCCGAGGAATTCACTATGGCCATTAATTCCCCAGCATGGATATATCGTTCCTTCGGGATTTGCAATCCAGGGAATGTTGTTTAAGGCTAGGCCGATTGAGATTGGGACATGGGGGCGGAACTAGTGGCCGGGCGGAGAGGTAGAAAGATGTTGTTGTGTTTTCCTCGGATTCATATATGGTGGACCTCATTAGCGGTAGACAGGGGAACAACTGTCGTTGGTCGTGCTGGTGCGTTGGCTCTCCGTGGTTGACGAGAGCTTGATGCGGGAAGAGATCGATAGGCTGTGGTGTAGACAACTATGTATCGTACATATAAAGACGGTGACCTTTCACTGTATCAATGTCTCCCATTTCTGCTACTAGCGCGGGGGATGAGGGTGGTGCGGTATATCTTGCAAACGATTCGGAAGCAACTCTACCATTCCCACGTACTCCAAGCGATCTAAAGCTATCGAAAACTTCTTCTCTCCCTTTGCGGCTTTATATGGTAGTATTTTCAACCTGAGCTCCGGTATTTCGGTCTCTCGCCCAAACCCCTTATAGCTTTAATATGGTCTGGAATAGGAACCTTTACTGGGCGGGTGATGCGTGGAAACAGAGTACTCAGTAGTGGGATACGTTAGTCACTGTGTCCTGAGTGCGTGACCGGTGCCCGCCACCCCTCTTTGATCCGTGGCCAGGAGGGCGATGCATGCTTCGTAGTCAATACATCCATCCGACCACCAAAGTACATCTCCTATAGGTGATGGACATAAGGCGGGATCTACCAGCTGCGTTGGGGTGTACACGTGTGTGAAAGGTGGCCGCCGGCCGCGGGGTAGCCTGTAGAACTAAGACGAAGAACAGGGTAGGTGTTCCGGGTCTCTACGAGGTTGTGAAATACATCAGTAAATACACCAGCTACCAGGGAAAGACATCAAAAACGTATGGGATAACCCAGTCCAGAGTGATGTAATTCTAAATGCATTTACTGATGACTTTCCTGAACACTTTCCCGACCCTTTCTCAACCTACGCTCAAGGGAATGACACCAACTGACCCGCCCCCCGACACACCTCCAGATACCTTTGCTGATGTATTTCCCACGTGCACCAAGTGATACCTTTCCCGATACCTTTCTAGAAAGCCTCCCCGGGGAATATATCTATTGATGTATTTCCCAAATATCTTTGCATGGGTACGTAACGCACAAATTGATGAATTTACAGCCATTTATCAAAAGTGTTCATGATTCGGATTTAATGTGACATGTCTGGCTCAAGTCAGGAGTCAAGTGCCCATTGAAATGTTCAAAACCTCAATACAGCAACAGTCAAGGGTGGTCAAAATCAATATTAGACAATTTGACCGCAAAATCTGGTAAGCCACATTACGCACTGACCAACTTTGATGTGAATCACGAACACTTTGATGAGTGACTGTACCAACCTAGTAGAGATTGACATATGCATATGCTTAACCGATGTTCATCACCTCTTATTATGGTGCACTCTCCAATGTACCCTATCTCGTACACTGATCACAACATGTCTTTGCTCATAAAGGGTTACATCTCCATCCAACGTATAAGATAGCCTGCGTTCTCAACCTGTTCGCGCCCGCCGCCTTGTGCTATCGTATAAGTTGCCCATATAGATGGATAGAAACCGCACACACTTTCGCCGGTGAAGAAGCGGGGAAGAAGAGAACTTCCGTCGAATCGAGAGGGGGATTTATACTCTTTTGAGGTCCGCTCCATAGGCGTATATTAGGTTCCATATACGTGTTCTTCTCCCACGTGCTTTGATGCATTTCCCTACACACCTGACACCTGTTGATCCAACCCTCCATACAAAAAAAGGATGCACCCATGCACCCACTGATAAACTTCCCAACCTCGGAGAGATGGCTAGGACACGTATATATATCAGAACACTACTTGTGTTCAGGCCATTACGAGCAGCGACCGAGACGTCTCGTATCAGTGAGATCACTAGAGCTATAAAGCTAACTAGCCTACCGCTACCTGCCGAGCGGCACCGTGAAAATATCTCTAAACCTTTCAGAGTCCCGCAGACCAGAAACGCAAGGCGTACCACACCCACACGGACCAAAGGAGCCACTATTCGTGAAGCGACTACACTACCGCAAAGACCACTCACATACTATCACAAACTACCCTGAGAGCTGACAACCTATCCTAGTGACACCCTATGGCCCAAACGGGTAGACTCACAACTACTCACTCGACTCGGCACTTTGGACCTAAATTATGACGAGTGATATATGGTGACTGCCTGACTGGTGTCCGGGTGATAGGGCATGACTCACAGTGCCCTGAGTGAGATTTTGTGATTTATGGACCCGTGCACAATATGAGTGTTGGTGATCTGACTGCTGACCGAGTCATCGGTGGTGATGGGCGGAGGTGGTAATGGGTGATACTAGAGACTTTGCGGAAATGGAGCCAGGTTCATTTTCCGGTGACATCATTGGTGCCGATCTCACCAGCTGCCAATCAGATAACGAGAATATAGAGCCAGCCCCATTTGCGCAAAGTCTCTAGTATATGACTACCATCCGAGTCACTGGTAGTGACGAGCAGGGTGCTTAGTGATAGTTTGTGATTGAAGTATTGAACTGAGTCGGGGGTAATTATTGATATTTGAAGACTACTACTACATAGCCTATTGGGCACCGAATGTGGGGACTGTATTGCGAGCTATCAAAATTATCCGGGCATGGGAAAGAACTTCAACACCGACTTCCTCACAACAACGAGAGAAAAAGACAGGAAATTCAAGTTTTTGGTTCTTGATGCCTCCATTGTTTTGACCTTCAATTGGGCTCGACTGAAGTAGTTTCTAAGTTTGTTATTCTAGCCAACTTACGCGGTTTCGACAAGGGCGTCAACAGTATCAGGCAGGGACGAGACACTACACCGTGCACACCGGCTAGCACCGAACACCGGGCATCCTAAGCACCCGGCCACATACCAAGCATAAACTCGCAGCACCCGCACCACGGTTCCTTACGCGCACCGAGCTGGGCCAGCCTGGGCACCCCATCCAGCACGACTTCACATACCAGTAGAAGTCCCAAGTACAGAGGCGAAGCTAAACCACGTCTCTAACACTACCCTCTACCCAACTAGTACACTCCTCTCTCACACAATTAATAGACCCGGCCATCGCCGGCCATACCCCACAAATATAACTTACATATGCAACCCCCCCAGGCACCAGTGCTGCCAGCTCGACCCCCAGCGGCAACTTGTAAGTAGACACAATCACGACCTTATTACGCTTCTTCCACTATTATGCTACGCTATATACAGCCCAGCCCCACCTCGCTATATGCATATCGTAGGTGGTAACTATGCATCACCTGTACCACCACCAGGGACCCCGGCAAACAGAACGGACAAACGGAACGCAACAATGGCCAAGTCTGGCTATACAAACCGAGCTCAAGCTTGCGAGCAAAGGCTTATATACAAAACATATTAGATACCGCGGAGGGCAATACCCTTACCAACAGCTTAGGACGTGTTCGGAAATTAAACGCCTTAAAAACTCCATTTTCAAAGCTCAAAACGGAGTTTGGGGTAAAACTCCGTTTGGTGAAAAGCGAGAGTGTGTTCGGCATTCCACTCCAATACTCCATTTTGATTGAGACAACGGAGTCTTAACGGAGAAATCCTTGTCAAGTCAAAAGATAGGTATATAGGACCTACGTACTTTTCAGGAACTCCGCTAACAACCTGTACAGCGTGGGTAATAATAAGTTATCGAACAGCACAGCCACAATACTGCCTGCAAACGCGTATTTTAGCGGCGTTCCGTCCGATGACTTTCGTACCCACCACTGTACAGTTAACGGTGTTTTGCTAAAACGGAGTTCTCGCTTTGAGGGGGAGGGGGGGTTCCGAACGCGCCCTAATTAGCTAAGTTAATCGCAGCAGACAGAACGTCGCCGAGGGAGCTGAGTGACCCGATGAGATAAATTATGGGAGGCATATACATATAGCTTCTCGGAACGGGCTTCTCAATGGGTATATAACTGTGAGAATGCCGCATTCTCGCGTTGAAATCAGCAGTTCCTATATATACAGGCTCCCCCCCACATCCGCACCTAGTGTTTCCCATGAGCATGTTCCAGACGAGCCCGGGGAATAGGCTCATCTCCTCTCATTTTATGGGTCCAGGCTCACAAGGTTCGAGTCTGTACGTTCGAGCATTCCCGGGTGATAGCATATATATATATGTTGTTGAGAGATCCTCCAAAGACGTTAGAAGTTGATGTGTCAGAGCGTTGTTTGGCAAGCATTTTAAAGGCCCAAAACGACCTATAGCTCAGAACTAGGTAGTAT